CAGTGATGAGAAAGAAGTGAGATGGCACTCTTGTTATACTTCATTTCTAACCAAACTATACTTCACTAACAAGGACCACGCCAATAACAGTATGAGTTTCGAGAGGTTTATTGCATAGTGGAAAGATTGTTAGATTCAAGAAGCGGAAGGGATCGAGGGATGAAATAGATATAGGGTAGGGGTAGAGGGATGAAGGGGAGTAGGGTAGAGGGATGATGGGATGTGGGGGTAGGGAGGAAGGGATGTGGGGTAGAGGTCGAGGGATGAAGGGATGGAGGGGTCGAGGGATGAAGGGGTCGATGGATGAAGGGATGAAGGGGTCGATGGATGAAGGGGTCAAGGGATGAAGCGGTCGAGGGATCAAGGGATGAAATGGTGGAGGGATGAAGGGATGAAGGGGTAGAGGGATGAAGGGATGTAGGGTAGAGGGATGAAGGGATGTCAGGAAAAAGAAACGAGGAGGGTTTGTAGAAAGGAGGTTAGGCGATCGATGGGGGACCGTTGATGTCCGGCAACTGGCGGGAATGGGGGGACTGGAGACTGTAGGGTGGGGGCCATCTCTTCGGAAGCTCTGGCGGAGCAGAGTCCCCTGTTGTTCCTGTAATCCTACGAGAGAGAGAGAGAGAGAGAGAGAAATCGGACGACAAAAAGGGGGTTTGGGGGGGAGGGATGTGAAGACGAGAGTCGAAGAGGGAGTGAACGAGTTCGTTGTGCTTAAATACTCTGTGCAGAGGAAATGAGCGGTGTTCTGGGCGTGGCCCCGTTCCTGAACTACGTTTATAAAACTACATTTTTTGATGATTAAATGTAATGTGGTAAAATTACGTATTGCCATCAGGGAAACAAGTACATTTCTAGGCAACCACTTTGATTTATGAAAAACATCACGGTTGGTTTTAGATTAACATACAAATTATTTTAAAACAGTAGAATAAGTCATGAACTTCACAAATACTGGTCGGCTGATTGAAAGTGTTGAAAAGTTCTGTTTGTTTGACCCATCCACCCTCCATAAGTAATCTTTCTCCCTGTTTATATGAAAAGAGAAAAGAGACGCGTCTGTTGACCCAACTGACAGTTTACAGCCAATAGTACAATCACCTTTTCTCAACATAGCCAGTGGATAGAGAACGAATTCTGTCTATTTTTTTCCTGTCAGGTTTAAACATCCCTGCTCACCTCTTAAACTAAGAGTCTTTTCTGTTTTGGCCGACACAGCTTGCAGCAGGTGTTGTGAATATGAAGTAGAGTGGGAGTGCATCAGTCACTGGCCGGCTTCATTTGGTATGCAAAATAAAAATGAGTTATACAAAACGAGGCCTGGCAGGGGGCTGCGGAGGGGCTCGACTACAGCTGCAAAGCCAAGTGACAAAGTCGAAGCAAAACAGACAATTTACTAAAAAAACACACAATGTCAACACAAAGTCAGGCGTTTCACTTAAAACAAGCCAAAGTAGTTCATCAGCTGTTTCAGTCATCAGCGATGTAATTAAATTAAAAATGAACGGATTAAATTAAAGCAATTTGTTTTCTACACAATAAAAGTTGTAAGTTGATGTAATGACATTTCAAACTCCTGCAGAATGAACCTATATGCATGAGGACTCACTCTCATGCTTAATGACGTCGTGGCCCTTCAGCACATTTTATTTTGTGACTGTGACTCATAATTTTGCTCTGCGGCTTTTTCAAAACTTTGAGCTAAAAGAAGTTCTAAATTGCAGAAATATTTAAAACATTGTCAGACAGCTGTGACTATTTACAGAACTTATATGCAAATGATACTATTTAATATGCTCCAGTCAGGGGAAAAACTACTTTGGATCTCAGGAAGTGATGGGCAGCATGAGAACACAAAATAGCCAGGATGCTGAATGTACCTCTGCAAGCATTGTTTCAGGAAAATGTTTCTTAAAAAGTTGCAATAGCTCTGTTTTATTCGTGTGATAGCATGCTTGGGGATTGTAGGAATGTGTACCGTAGTTATTAGGGAATCTGTCACTGCGCACATCAGGCATAACTCCATCAAGAAGCTTCTCATACAGCTATACCTACGAACATAATGCTCAATAATTCAAATATAATCCACGTAATCACGAGACTGGACAGGTGACGTAATGTAAAGAGGGATAAAGTAGCATAGGGAGCAGGTTGGGATGGATAGATGCGTCTAAATCCACTTTAACTCACTAGACTGCTGTTCATGTCCTTAAACCTTAAGTTAACATTGACTTATTTGTCTACCCAATTATTTATTATTTCAAATGTTATTTATATTTCACACAAACCAAGTAGTTTTGTTACCTGAACACTGCATGGGCTTGCACAGATCTCACAAACAAAAAAACCTTTCGAAATATATCAAACGAAGCGTTGTATGAAGATACGTTACCATCAAATGCATTTATAAACAATTACTTTGTAGACATGCTAGCGGCTCTATGAGGCTGCACATAGGCACTACATTTCTAAAAGTGATTACAATGTATCCTCTGGGGAACATGAACTTTGTCACCAAATTTCATCGCAATCCATCCAATAGTTGTTGAGACACTTCGGAGTAAAGTGTCCAACTTACCAGAAATAAAATAGAAGCTGAGTCCACCGGATGGTTTCAGCTCCACATCAGTATCTAGACACTGAATTATTCGCAAATACTGAGTCAATGTTTTTAATCCAAATATCCGCTGTCAGCTTGCGTATTAATCTACTGTTGCACTGAAAATCTTTTTACCAGACAAAGTGAGACAAAGTAAAGTGAGTAGAAACATTTCTGAAATGTTTACAATCCGCAAACCCCAGAGATGAAAGACACGACTGTCCTGCTGTAGCTCTGTGTTGCCTTTTCGCTGATTTGTCTCCACTGGACGACACCCGGACGCACCAAACACACGTTTCTATCTGCTTTCTGAAAGGTTTCAAACTGAATCTCGTAGAAGACGTTGGTTTCCTGCCTCATTCACATGCCGCCCGACTCTCTGCTGCTGAAAGGCCTCTCTGACGTCTCCGTCAGGCTGCACGGTAAGTCATCAAGTCATCACAGCAGATAAAAACAAGCACAGTGACATGATCCAGGAGTAGTAATATTAACCGTGATCATCCTGAATGCAGCATTATCTCTCTCTTCACTCTGCAGAAGTGAGATATTTACACAGTATTGTATGTGGAAACCCAATTTGGACGGAGAAATTACTTCTCTCACCTTCCTATTATATTTTGTGGTGGTTTTCAAATGATAGATGACTGTGAAGCAATTGTGCCAGACGTATTGAAAGAACATCTATCCAGGAGACACAGCATGCGTCCTCTCTTCCATGTCCTTCTGTTCAATCACAAAGGATCGAAGTGGTGGGAAAAAGTTTCTGAAAGTTTCTCTCTTTAAAAATTCAAACTGAAATGTATTTCTTTCACTTTAAAGTCATTTTTTAGTTTGTTTCTAGCCATGTAAATTGTGTTTAAATATATTAGCTAATACATAAGACTACACTCATATCAATAACAAATAACTGAACATTTGGTCATAAATCCCTTTAAATCAAGTGGATTTTATGGCATCCGTTATGTTGCAGAGCTCAGCTCATCTACTCGTCCTGCCAGGAGCAGAGCTTCTCCTCTCTGCTCCATCGGTTCCCACTAGGAGCCGACACCGACTCCACGCTGCTGGAGACCCAGGACGTATTGCTGGACCCGCTGGAGGGAAGGGAGGCACGGGAGAACCAGAACCAGGACTGAGCGGGGCAGACTGTCTGACCCTGCTGCAGTAACATGAGAGAAGCACTTTGGTAGATGATGGGTAGACTTCTTTCAGGTTAGGATACCTTCATCATCATGGGTACAATAGTAAACACTTGGTTAAGGTTGTGGAACAATCGTGGTCATGCTTTCAAAAATATTTTTAAAATAATGTTGAGTGTTAAAATCAACGATGGCCCATCCATCCTTCCTCCTGCTTTTGTTCTGGGAAGACGGTCTCTGAACGTTTCAAGTTCGACCTCCTAGAGGTTTGCTCTGCTGAACCTGTAACCGCAGCACACAGTGACATCTCCACATCACAGCAGCAGGACGAGCAGTTCAACCACCGGATGTCTGCAAAGACAGGATCTTCTGTTAACTTTCTCCTCCCTGCACTTTCCACGTGAAACAAGGTACAGAATGAACTCATTTTAATTTATTATTCAAGTCAATTCTAAAGGACTTGGAGAATAACACTCTCGGCGAATGTTTTTGTTTCCAATTTATTTTGATGTTTTTTTTTTAAATTGAAATATTTGTTTTGCTGACTTTAACTGCATATTGTTTATACGCTGTGACTGTGAATGAGCCTGTTTGTTTCCTGTATTGAATTCAGTGTCACAACAATGTTTTATTCGGCTTTTTGAAAAAATAAAGATTGTAATTTCAGTTTTGAAAGGAAGAAAACAACCAATTTCACTAGATTTTACTTTCTAAAAAGGGCTGAAATATGCACCGATAAAACCTACAATTAGCTCCTGAATAGTCATTTTAATTCCCGTATTCTCTCCCAGTGGGATACTTTCAATTGATTTGCAGTGACTGAGTCACCGTGCTGGGGCTCCTTTCCGTGACCACCGATCCTGAACTGCAGCATTACATGATGACAAACAAACTGTGAGCAGCCGACTGGAGCCTAATGGGACCTGAGACGACTCTTTCTCAAACATTGTTGGAGCAGAATGGTGTCGCCTGCAGGGCGGGGCGGGGGGGGGGGGGGGGGGGCGGCGGAGGGTTTCGGGCGGGCCCTGGCTCTTTAAGTCCTCTTTAATGACTGAAGTACCTTTCTCTGGAGCTGTGACAGCAGAGACTCTCTCTCTCTCTCTCTCTCTCTCTCTCTCTCTCTCTCTCTCTCTC